TTATTAGATTAGATTTAGTGGCATTGAAGACTAGCAAGTTATCGTCACATCAGGTCTTAATCAGTTCAATGTCTACTTGTATCTTATGATGTAAAGCATGCTCATCTTTGTCATGTCAAAATATAGTGGTATCATCGGCAAACAATGTATAGTCTCCAGATATATTAATTTTTGTGAGATCATTTATATAAAGTAAAAACAATGTGGGCCAAGTACGGAACCCTGTGGCACCCCGCATTGAGTTGCCTCCTTTCGAGAGAGGTGGTTAATAAAACCAACTATTTCCGAAGGCGAGTACTTTTCGTCCGCAGACACTAACTTTTCGTCCGCAAACACTTTTCGTCCGCTGCATGGTTGCCAGTTCTACTGAATTTTCAGTAGATTTCCTGATTTGCATATCGATCTACTGATCTACTGAATCATATTCTACTGAAAAATATTTTGACACTTCTTTATTATTATATAATTACCTATATCATTATTAATCTTCAGTTAATTACATACACTTATAAATTGCATGATATTTCGGCATGCTCTGTTCAAATTAATTTTACAAAATATGTAATAATAGTATATTACGTATTATGTGTTTCAAGAAGCATATTACGCACGAATGGAAAAGTTACGAACGCAGCCGCGGAGCGGCGAGTGCGTAATTGCTTTACAACACGCATTACGTACTATACTTTACCCACTGCCATATAGTACATCAAAAAAGTTTGGACAAACAGCCTGAACTATAATTCTTGACAGTTATGTCATCCGTTGTTGACGGCGATTACGCGATCATGACTGACGGAATGAACCAAAACTGTGCAATGTGCTTACTCTCTCCTGTGGTCTTGCCAACTTTCTATAGTGCCCGTAGGTGAATGTACAGGGTGGCCAACTAAGACTGCGAGGTACTGTATCTGGGAAACTATCCATCCTAGGGACTTGCGGCAAAAAAAAGTATTATCAAAACGCCCAAGAGAAAAACCTGGAAAATAATTTCAAGTTCCTCAAATGACCGCTAGCGTGAGTAACTGCAATCGTGAATCTAAAAAGTAATTTTTCGGTGAATTCCGCTATATCAACCTAACAAAAAAATACCTGATTTTCATTGCCGATGACAATTCGACAATTTTTCGTTCGACAATTTCTGCTGTATCTCTAAAAATAAAGTGATGGGGGGTATTCGGAAGTTCCTGTAAAAAACACCCTGTATCTTCGAAACGGCTTAGCCGATTTTGACAAACTTGAGCTAGTTGAAAAGAGCTATTCTTGGGCTACAAATTTTATAATATTTGAAGTTATGTTAGTTGCACATGTCGCCGCTAGAGGGATTTTTTCGACATTCCGATAGAAATAGTTGATTTTCTCGAAATAATCAAATGCATTAGTATGATTTTTTTTTTCATGGAAAGGTTGCTCAATGATGCCTAAACAAGCTTTTTCATAGAAAATACAATACCGCGGCATATCTCTGAACTCCATGAATGCTTAGATATTATTCGAAAATGTATTGCACATTATTTTTCATAAAAACAAAAACACATACAATTTAATACCCTTCCTTATATGTATACTATCTTCAAATTTTGTGTATTTTTCATATTTTGTTGTGAGGAATCTTCCCTTTCCTCACCAAAGCTCTTAAACACCCTGTATATACACTTTTAATTATTTGAAAGTAGAATCTAGGGATTGAGTAATACAAATGTATCTTGTTGAAAAAGTATATATGCAAAGACAAAGCTCTAGGAAAGGGGGGCAGCACCCCCTTGCGGACGCCTCTGGTTATCTTCATTTCGCTTTTTTCGCAATCGCTATTTCCCCAACGAAACAATCTATTATTCTTACATTCGTGACACATAAAGGAACAATGAACTCGATTTTCATTATTGCGGAAATGGCAATTTGAGGCGAATTAAAATGAAGCATGTTGCCAGTTCAAGAAGGTATTTCTTCATTATTATTCAGAGTAACTGGTGTGGAAAGATATTGTACGCGTCATTATGTCGTTAAGAAAACATCGGTCATGTACAGTGCAATTCTGCTTGTCCGTTTTTGAACCATATGAAGAATGATAGTGAAAATTATAATAATACTTACCTATAACATTATAAAAGAGCAAGAAAAGCGCGGTTGGTTTATTGATCGTAAATATAAGGTACTATAGGTTCGATTCCAAATCCTAGCAGAAATTTTCAATTTTCAAATTTTCAATGCTCCATCAGTTTTTTATATCATAGCTCGACTCAAGATGGTTTAGTATGATTCATCGATTCATAATCACTTATTTAAGAGTTCTGCTCCTAAGATTCCATCTTCCATGAAGCTAGTAAAAAACTGTAGGGTTGCCTATATGGATGTGGAACTATATACACTGTGTCGTCCCAGATTGCTATCTCGGTTATTATAAAAGCTACACAGTCGTTCAAACGGTCAATGTATCTCAGAAATTCTATTATTATTTTAGAACAGCCATCAGATTTTTTCGATCGTTTTTTGTTTTTGAAATAATCGCTAAAAAACAAAATGGTGCGTTTTTGGCATTTTTTTTTATGTTCTGGTTCCTACGAAAAGGTATATCCTGTAATGTTCAGAGAACATCGTGAGAACCAATGGAAATAAGGTAGAAATTGGTGTTCTTCTTGAATTTCTGGAGGTTATATGCCTCAAGGAACACCTCCCTTGGCAATGTGTTCCAGAGCCTCGCTGTTCGTTGGATGAACGAGTCTTTGGAAAGAGATATGTTATTCGAAAACTTACGGCATTTTGGCTTAGACATTCCATGAGCACTTTTTCAAGAACTTTTGAATGAAAAATAGAACAACAAAATATCTTCCTGCGTTTTCGAGATAATGACAATAATTCTGTTTTTCACTCATGGAAATTTTCAGATTCGTTTATTTCTGTATTTGTTCAGAAGAATGAATGATATGTTGTGATACATTTTCGAAAAGAGGATTTAGAATTCTATTCAAAATGCAATTAAACTTCATAATATGGCGTCTTGTCGTGTGGGCGCCATATTAGAGTTGTATTGCATTGAATATAACTATTAATCCTCTTTTCAAAAATGTATCTCAACATATCATTTTCTTCTGAACAAATACAGAATTAAAGAATCTGAAAATTTCCATAAGAAAAAACAAAGTTATTGTCATTATCTCGAAAACGTAGAAAGATATTTTATTGTTCTATTCTTTAATCAGAAGTTCTCGAAAAAGTGCTCATGAAACGTCAAAGCCAAAATGCCGTAAGTTTTCAAATAACGGAAATACAGAGGATTGTCAAAATCGCACCATTTTGGTTTTTCGCGATTATTTCAAAAACAAAAAACGATCGAAAAAATCTGATGGCAGTTCTGAAATAGTAATAGAATTCTGAGAAACATTGCCCGTTTGAACGACGACTGTGTACTGTGTAGCTTTCATAATAACCGAGATACCAATAACATGCAGCACAAATCTGGGACACTGTGTATGAAAGTACATTGTTTTGAAATAGTTCATTTGCTTGTGTGTGTTATTTGGATTCTTCGGTAGTGATTTGAGCAAAGAAAACTTAATTTTTAACTGTTTATCTTGTGATTTGGGGAGGGGAAGCCTTTCAGCCGATATTCTTTCAATAAAGTATGTTTCATTACTTCAAATACATGGAATTTATACAATGAAAGATTCCCCAATTAGAGGTTATTTTAGTTTTTGTGTCGTTTTCCATTCATTAGTGAAATAAATATTGAAAATCAAGTGGAGTAAATACCTATGATGTTGAATCTCACAGATTGGGTTAAGTTGATTCATCGGTTTATATAAAAGACAAAAAGTAGGTACTCAAAAAAATTGAACTTAAATATGTGCTCTATGCTTTTGAATAATGATTGCATTTTTTTGAACTTCTTTTGTTACTTTTCACTCCTGGAAAAGAAATAGGTTCAACTGAATTGAATTTCAAAGTTGAGAAAAAATATTTCAATTGCACCGATTGAAATATTCATTTTAAGTAAAATGCAGTGTGCAAACTGCAAATTCTCATGAATAACATGAGAAATCGAGTGTGGGAAATTTTCCCACTCATTTATAAGTAAGCTGCATTTGTATATACTTGAATATATAATTATTTAGTCTGTTTTTCATCATCCGAAGTTTTTGAGTTTTTTCTACCTCGCAAAGAAAATGCCCACTCTGTACCTATATTTCCACCATCATTGGTATTACCCTAATTCGACCCCTAACTATTATTCATGGTAAAGCTTAGGTACCTACCTTTCTAGCTCAATAAACAATTTTTTATAGGCAGTTACTCTCGAACCTACTGAGTGGACAACTAATACCAATATTTCATTCGGTTTCACAGTATTTACATTCTTTCAATCTCTCTACAATACACGATTCAACACTTATTCGCGGTAGTCAAGGTCATCATCTGACGTTGCGATGACATGAGAACTATGGGAAAAAATGACTAACTAACTAAACTTTCAATAAAATACGTCAGGGAAACTTGAATGTAAATAAACATTCAATAGATTGAATGTACTTTTTATTAGATACTTTAATATCCGCAAGAGGAAGTGTTGTTTATTTTGAATCGACAGCGTCCCATTCGCGATAGAAAATAAGCATACGCTACCTATCGGAGTTCTTGAAAGCTGTCAAAGCGGCCTGTTAACTTCGTTTTCATTGGTTCACATTTGTTTTTTGTTTGTGCTTATTGGTCATTACATATCGAAACCACAGTTGAGAGAATATTACATATACAACTGTGTCGAAACAAACCTCTTAGACGTGCTCAAGTTGTTGCCATCAGGTGGGGCAACGTGTTATTTTCTATCGCGAATACTGTGAATAACCGTTACCGGAATAACGCGGTTTTGTTGAATATTTCTTCGATCTTAGACCACTAGCTGGCGATACAGTTACTAGATCATCATCCTGGTCTGAAATCTCTGATAAATCAACCGACAAGAAAATGTTTGTAAGATACCCTCTATCGTGTATTATCTTTTTCAGTATGGAGCTTTTCTAGCAATCGTATTTGTGATGGAGTTAGGAGCGGGGATATCCATTTTTGCTTATCGTGCCAAACTTTCTGATGGTTTCGACAAAGGTTTGACTCAGGCTATGATGAATTACAGAAATGACAGTACACATCTGGCCGGAGATTTTGATCTGATGCAAGAAACTGTAAGTATCGAAATTGTCTACTGATTTCTCAAGATTTTTTTTAAATTCATCAGGTCAATAATATTCATTGTATCGGTAGGTAGGTAGGTATACTCATTATTAATTCAGAGAATGATGTATATCACTTGGTATTCAACATTTAGATGATATACTTACAAAACGTCACTCGAAATTACAAATGAAAAGATCAATAAGAAAACAGATAGAAATACATGGATATCGTGATGCTACAAAAAATCCTTATAGCAAAATAATTCAAAATAACAATGAAATGTGCCGCATCAGGTGAACATTCCGAATTTATTAATAGTCCAATGTCTAGATTTGGGAAGATGGATTTCATATTGTTTATTTCTCTTTTGTGACATCACATAAAGATAGGTACCTACTACCAATACAACAGTTGGTCCATTTTTAAAGTAACGAAAAACAGGAAAAAAAGAGAACATAAATATAAAATTTTGAAGTAATCATTTGACATTCCCCTCATGAAGAGTTAACCGCAGACACGTGTTTCGGGCTTTCGGCCCTCATCAGAGTACGGTGAAAAAAGTGCAAAAGATAGAGGCAACACTTGGTGCAAGACGAAACAACAAAATAATGGAGTCAGCAAACAGAAGCCAGCCGCACAATAATTGTGATTTCGGTCGGCAGAACCCTGCATTTTCAGAAGCAGGCGTGACATCCGAGTCCAGGAGTAGAATCTTGATAAAATGAATATTGAGGAAACTGTTTTAGGCAAACTAGAATGAAGTTATTGGACATATAGCCCTCATGAAGAGTTAACCGCAGACACGTTGTTTTGGGCTTTCGGCTCTCATCATCAGTACCACCGAACATAAACAGTCTGGTTTATGTTCGGTGTCAGTACGGTGAAAAAAGTGCAGAAAATTAGCAAGACCTGGTGGAAGACGGAACAACAAAATAACGGATGTCTTGATGTCACGCAGGTAGCTATAGCTGCTCTGTGTTGACGTTGGTTGTTGCTGTTGTTGCCCTGAAAATGCAGGGTCTACTGACCGAAACCACAATTGTGCGGCTAGCTTTCATTTTCTTGATTCGTCTCACAAGCTTAGCACTATCGTAATAACTATTCATTATATATTGTCTTCACTGTTATATTTCTAGCTGAAATGTTGTGGGAACCATAATCCTAACGATTGGCTGAATTTGACACCACCTCAACCTGTTCCAGTTTCTTGTTGCATTCAGGAAAATTGTAGCACGGATATAGAGCAAAATATTTATTCTCAGGTAAGCAAAATTAAATTGAAGAATATTTTACAATAATTTCTTCCGATAAACAATTGTTCATCAGCGTAGTAGCATTTTAAAATATGGGAAAGAGAAGAAGAAACATGATACATGATAAAGGATGACGTATTCATTTCACCACCACTGCCACATTCAATAACTCAATTGATTTTTTTTGTCGGCGAGCATTTTAATTTTTTTCAACTAATTATACGCAAAATTCAACTATATCGGAAACTATTCAAAAAACTATGTAACCATTGAAAAACATAACAGGTGATGCTTCCTTGTAGTGTTGGAGAAATCATTTGCTTTTTGTTCATCAAAATCGGATATTAAATGACGGCGCTATGCGGCGTTTTATGTAAATAAATGAGTTAATTCTTGACGGTTTTTCATAATTTTCACGTAAAAATCAATGAAAGTGTTACTGGGGGTGGTACTTTACAACGTGTCACTCACTATATCTATTTAACTACTCATTTGTTTTTAGTCATAGTTTTTCAAGGTATCGAGGTATAGAGGTAATAAATAAATTGTTTATGACACTTCCATCTATTGTGGCTTTTACCGTTTAGAAGTAATGCGGGAAAATTATTTCAATTTTATCAACTTTAGAATGATTTATATCTCCCTTAATATACATTTCGGGCGATTAGTTTATGAATCAATATAATAAATATTTTTCGATGTCATCACCTTCGCAGAAAGCTCGGTACACATTTTTACTCACCCTGTATATGACATCCAATTCTAACTGGAACATGCGATGAAACGCCAATAAACAATATCTGTAGTTTCCGAGACAATGCGATAAATTTAAAATAGCGGGAGATTTAGCTAGTCATCAGTCACCTGCAATTCGCGATAATCGTACGCCACCTATCGGAATTCTTGAAAGCCATCAAAGCGGCATGCTTACTTAGTTTTCATTGGTTCACATCTGTTTTTTTTTTTTTCGTGTTTTTTATAGATTACATGTTCGGCTCTAGAGGCAGCTTTTACTACCCCGAACATGGAATCTATAAAATTTATATGATATCTTTGAAATGTGTTCTTTGATTTCTGGTATATTATGACACTGTTCATGAAGATTTGCTTATCAGGAATATCGATTACCGTTGGTAATAATACGGAGAACTTTGTTTTGCAGCACTTGTAACCTTCCTATTTGGGTAGGGGAGGCCCTACAAAACACCGGACAGGCGTATGTCATTACAGGCCTGATCATCTGCTTGTAGATCAGGAGCTTGTTATCCAATGTTAGCGAGGAATTTCTCGTCAACAAAGGATACAAGCCCCAGATTGCTGCCTGGGTTTTTTGTATTAAATAGCTGAAATGACTTCTGAATGACAAACGTCTGTCCAGCTTCACTCCCAGGTATTTCACAACGGGAGAGTCCCTAACCGCTGTGCCCCTAACGGTCAAAGGTCGGCATATGACATTGTTAGTAAACTTTCTAGAGAAATCAATAAGTTCTGTTTTTGCGTCATTTGCGCCGATCTTCAACTCGTCAAAATACGGTATGACTCCCCTGTCCAGATGAATCTGGATCTGAGCCCTGGCGATGTCCGAGACCGACAAGTGCGCATATAATGCCGTATCATCGGCATATAATGCTGCACTCGTCCTCTCGAACACAGGAAAATCATACGTGTAGATTGAGTATAACAGTGGAGAGATAGACACGACCCCTGTGGGACACCCCCGCCTCGATCGGAAAATCCTCAGAGGCACCTATACACGAATTTCGCGTTCTTTGAGATATGAGTCCACAATCTTAATGATGAAAATAGGCACTATCGCACAGACAGTGTCGAAAGCCTTTTCGACATCCATCATGGCAATAACTGTGTTTTTGTCTTGATTGTAGGCCTCTTTCACCCCGTGAACGATTCGGGCCACTTGGGAAGTTTATTTTCTGATAGTAAACAACTTCAACAGTCCGAAACTTGTATTCATTATTGATATCACTATTCACAGTAATCGATACACAGTCCAGCACTTCTACTAAAATAACTTATTTTCATTGCTCTTTTTGTCTGTTTATTATAAAAACAATAGCGCGTCACTAGGTATGACTAAAAGCGATGACCGATAGATTCGTGTAGTGTCCATTCGGGATAGGTCGGCATTCCAACAACTTGAACAACTTGATTTTGAAATATTCCTGCTGAATGGAAAATTGAATGGAATTCCTAAAAATATTAGGTTTTCTTACATAGGGTATGGCATGGGTGTGTTGAATAGGTTGATAATTTCACTGAAAACCCTGTACCTTGGAACCTACGAGTCTGAAAAAAATGCATACGAACTTTTTCCATTTTTCCACAAAGAATTTATTTTTGACTGTTTCAAATTTATGAATGTGATACTCTGTATAACACGTACCATATTTTTTAGGGCTGCTACACGAAAATAATAGCATTCCTCGATGCCAACATAGGAATGGTGGCTGGAGCAGCAGTGGGAATCGCATTTTTCCCGTTAATAGGAGTTGTGCTTTCCTGTTGTTTAGCAAGTATCATCAACAAGACCAAATACGAACAGATGGCTTAAAAATCTACCTTACAGAATCACAGAGTCGAATATGCTCACTTACTAAATTGGAAATCTCGGTGTTTTCTCATTAATTGTTTTCAACTACACTTTTCAATATTATATCTTTATCTCTTTGGTCCCAGGAGACCTATTAATTATATATCATACAGAGAGAACCAAAATAATGTTCCTAAAATTTGGGATCGTTCAAAATAAATGATGAGTTGAAAACATGCACGAACTAAAATTGAAGCCTAAAAAACAAAAATGTGTTCGACAAAATCAATATTTTTATAGACGATTTTACAATTTGAAGGCATTCACCATTTTTATTTTACGCACTGGATTTTCTTTTTGAGATATTTTATCCCCCATCCCAAGAAATCTTCCTAGATACACGACTGGTTCAAAACTTTAGATACAGATCGAGAGGTACCATATTTAGAAATTTGCAAGGAGAATTAAAATGAATATTAACGCAATGAGGTCAATAAAACCTCTTCTTTATATATTTTTACTAGTAAAAATCACCACTCGAAGTACATATACGAACATTATTTTGGACTACTCAAGAATTTGAAGGAAACTTGATGTGAATAGATATACATGTATATAACTCATTTTGAAATGACTGAAACGGGTCAATTGCAGACAGGGGCACTAAATACCTACTCCATACGAAAACTCTCCACAGAAGGTTGTTGAAATTAGTGAACAATCTGAAAATGGAAACTGATGTATACCTACCTCTAACATACCTGATGAGGTTTGGAAATCACGAAAAGCGCATGCCTTGTATAGTTTATGCTAACAAACTCAGTTAAAACACCATCAAATAAATGTCGGGCCGCGCTGCCGTTCTCTCTGAACTTTCAAGGGGACCGACGGCCCGCGGTGATGTGTTGTTCCAACTGACTTTGCATTTACTTTACCAGGGCTATGAATCGAATATATTTCAAATCAGTTGAATAACTGACTATCTTTTATTATCTCTAGGATATATACCTATATATTCAACTATCTCTAGTTTGATATGGTAATTCAAGAAGATATTATCAATGATATTAAAACGAATTCATTAACAACCAATAAGATACAATGATATGCTGAAATAATTAACGCATTATACTAAGCAGCAATCTGAGCTCCCACGTCTCACGTAACATGCGATATCAGCGGTAATTATTTGTTGGTGATAGCCGATATGTCATATGTTAAACCTAAGAAAGATATCTTGATGCGGTTCGTGGCGTCCTGTTGATTTCAATAACTTTACATGAAATTTACACAGTAAATTTGATCTCTTGAATTGTGTTGTTCAATAAATGATAAGAGCCAAAAAAAATTGTGTTATCATTCAGTGAATGATCTTTTATAATATTACTCGAGCATGAAAAATTAAACAAATTTAGGAAATGATGATGATGATGACAATACTGGTAACACCATTTCACTTATTAATTTATTCATTATTGCAAACTGGGTCCCAGCGAGCACAAGTACATCTCAGAGATGTTAAAAGTACGAGATTCCGAGACATTGAACCTCCACTGCGATGTTCTGTTTAGACATGAATAAAACATCCCGGGATACCTCTCAGTAGGCAAACAAAGAAATTCCACAGAAGAACAAAAACAATACTTCAATATCCTTCGAACTGCTATTTGGGAAGTGCATAATACGTCTCAAAAAAAAAATCTTCATGCCAAAATCTTCAATACATCCCAATACATCCCTGATGGGATGTTTGTGCTCGCTAAGGTGTTTTGTCCATATATCAGGTGACAACGAAATCTGTTCACTCTACCAATGAGTTGAAACTGAATATCAATCTCGTTTTGTCGGAAGAAGACCCAAGTCGAAAATGTTCAATGGCATCCTGTATAATTTTGACACAGTTGGATGGACCCTTTTTTGACATACCTACTGGCGTCACAAGTTTTATTTTATTTCATTTCAAATCGACCCTTTTTCACTTTTGTGAAGGTTCAGCCATTTTGTGCTTTTTGTGGTAGCAATTATACTGTCAAGCTGATGATTGTCATTTATTGTATACACTATCTTTTGTCAATATCAATTAAGTATAATTAGTTTGAGAAACGATGGATCCAAGAGGTTGTTCTTGGCCTTATTCTCAATAATTAACAGTTCAACAATTTGTGATCTGATAGAAACACAATATAATTCTATTCACATTTGATATTTGACACCTTTGTAGACCGTGTCTAGATTTATGCGTCATGAAGGTAGTCAAGTCAACGTTTCGTGTGGATTATTTCGTCTTTTGATTCTAATGCACGTCAATTTCTCGTGGAGCATTTCTTTATGATCAATCCACGCTAATATTTAGGTACTTATTTCTTGTTATGAATATGAATTAATTATGATGGTGTGAACAAAAACAAAATATTTTCTGAAGTATTCAGGTTCACCCAGCAAACATGCATTGGCGGTAAATAACCAAAATGGTAGAATGACATCGGGTGTGCCGCAACGGCTTGATGTACGCATTTTCATTATGTTTGTTTGTCATCCATCCCGTATTGACCGTTATAGATATATGTAACAATCGCGCCGCTGTCGATTCGACGCTAGAGACGAACTGATCTATTGTATAAATGATCTTATATTGTAGTATCACAATAACAATATTATATCTCCAGAATTTTCATGTATTTTTTATGGTTGATCACAGCAAACTATCGTCTGACATCAAGAATTATTATGTTATATAACAATTATTCTCATCCCCCAATTTATTTTTGTGGTACCCAGATAGCGCACCAACCATCGGCCCAGCATTTGTAACGAACACATCTCCCGTCAGTTCATGTACTTTCCCGGCGTCCTTAAATGCGCACAGTTTGTAGTTCGCGGTCAGATACTTGGAAAGTGCTCGAAAAACTCATCCTCCTTGATACGGATTTGCAAGCGCATAATAATATACGTTGGTGGCTGAGCGCTATAATGGTGCATTGAAACTTGTTGCCGCTGTAGCACTTCTATGTCAATAATTTAATCGCCTGGACACCTCGACGTGCCTCGACGCCGTGAAGGCATTACATTTTCGATATTCGGCCGTCAGTTCTCAAGGAGATCGATGTTATCTGGGTAATGACTTTGAGCTGAATATTTGTCTATTAGAATACAAATAACAATTATGCACCAATGCGAATTTCAGTAATTCAAGTATATTCGACAAATATTTGATTCACAGTAGGTAATAGATCAAAAGCTGGAAAAGTAATGTGGCTGTAACATTATCAGACTACACCTCTATTCTATGTCATCAAATCAACCAAGTTATGATAGGTATCAGAAACCAGTCCTACCGTTTGATTGCATGAATCCAATTATATAATAATTATGTCCTAATTAATAAAGTATTTTGTACTATTTCATTTCTGTTGACTGATGAATGTATAACGCAATATGTTTCAAGTCCGCAATAGCGTACCTAGTGGTATTTTCCCTTTATTATAACCAAATCATCCACACACGCCAATGTTTGCATCTAACCCTAACCCAACTATGGGTTCACCTCGGAGATTTCTCATCATGAGGAGCCAATAAGCTTCAGGACTTCAACAACGGGGCACACACCGCTCTGGCTAATACCAGCCAACTCCACACTGCGCAGAGGACTATTTTTATACAGCAATATTTTATACAGTGAGGGGCAATATTATGGAATAAATTCATTTTTACGAGAATAGGCAACTTTTGAGACAAATCCCGAAACACGTCGATTTTTATTTCCAAATTATGATTTTGTGGCAGATATGTCATACTAGTGACGTCATCCATCTTTGCGTGATGACGTAATCGATGATTTTTTTAAATGAGAATAGGGGTCGTGTGATAGCTCATTTGAAAGGTTATTCAATTCTCTATGCAGTGATATGAACATTAACATAATTATCCATACAGGGTTGCCAAAAAAATATTTAATTTGTAAATGAAATTAATTGTCACAAAAAGAAGTATTATCATTTATTTAATACAAAATTACATTGTACTACTGTCGGAAAACAGAAAAACAAATTAGTTGACAAATAAAAATTGCTTTTCGCTTAAATTAAATGTTCAAATTGCCACCCACCTGCCTCTTGGCAGTAATTGAACGGACGAATACATTCTTCTTGAACATTGTGGATCATTTCTGGAGTTGAATTACGAATTTCCAATGTAATGCTATTTGTCAAATCTTGGAAATGTGTGGTCTATCGGCGATCTGGATCATCCTCATTGATTTTGTCTACTATTGAAACACTTGAAACAGTTTATAAATAAATGTTTAGAACTGGTGTGCTTTCTACTACTATGAAGAAACAAAAATAAATTCCGATATTAGGCAAATAAATAATGAGAACTAAAAAGATAGCAAAAAGTATAGTTTTTACAAATCGAGTTGGCTTGGGTCAAATGTAAGTCAGTTCTTGACATTTTCTCATAAGGACTAGTTTATTTCATGAAATAAATAAATAATGGCCCCATTAACTGAAACACAAAGAATCGAAGTATTAATTATGGAGATAGAACCAGAACACAACAAGAAGTATGTAATTTATTTACCATAAAATATCCCAATACGCCTATCACACAATCCACTGTTAGTAAAATTGAGAAGAAATTTAGAGAAACTGGACACGTGAAACATGTTGCAAATGCTGGTCGTCCACCAATGAATGAGGATGTGAAACTGTCTGTATTATTAAGTGTGGCAGAGAATCCTCAAATTAATTCTAGGCAAATTGCAGCTGATACAAACATTTCTAAAAGGTCTGTTTTACGTGTGCTGAAAAAAGAGAAATATCATCCGTATAAAATTCATAATGTCCACGAAATCAATGAGGATGATCCAGATCGCCGAATGCAGTTTTGTGAAGTAATGCAAGATTTATGTAATCAAAATCCACGCTTCATTCGTGAAATCCTTTTTTCTGATGAAGCAACCTTCTGTTTAAATGGAACAGTGAATCGGCAAAACTGCAGATATTGGAGTCAAGGTAATCCCC